TCACATGGGATTCGAACCAGGGCCCTCTGGCATCCCAAGCCAGCTCTTAACCAACGTGCCACTCGGCCGGCCCTTAATACAATTTCTTAACTCTTCTGAATTAAACAATCTTTCCCTTTTACCATTATTTTGAAAGACTGATTTGCTGGGTGGTAGGTTAAATGGAATGAGTTATTTCCTAAGGATAACAATAAATGCAGTTAGGGCAGCCATGTTAGCCATTAGCCTAAAGAGAAATGGGGTAAAACGTGACTGTAGGTGAAGAAGAGAAGAGATTGAGTCTGACATTGCTACGGGCCACCATAGATGCTAGTGCTGTGCCAGTGCTGAGGCATTATGGCTCCTGTGCACTTTTGCTCTACCCAGTTCTCTTCCAAAGGAGAGAGCTAGCTAGGTAGAGTTAGGTTCCTGCATTTTCCTCTTCTGATGGCATCACCAATCAGGGCAGGATTAGAATCTTCGTAGGCCTCTAACACTGAAAAGATGATGGTGTCCCTCTCCCCTTACGTAATTAAAAATAGAAATTCATTTAGGAAATGAATTAAAACTTAAATTAGAGTGCATGGAAGACCTTCCTTTTAAACTTTGTGAAATAAAAACCCCGAATAAATTCATCGGAGCTGAACTTTTTATTTGCTTTTCCCTCCTTTGCTAGTACTTCAGCCGTAGATCAGCTGCCTGTTCCACAACCCTGCTCTTGCATGCCGCCCAACCCCACCCAAGCGACGGCTCGCAGGTGTCAAGTCCACTCAACCAGGGATCTCCTCCTTCGCTCCTCCCACTGGCCCTTAGTCCCACCCACTGTACGCGTCGTCGTGACGTTAGCGCGCCGTTGCCCAAGGCTCGCAGCAAATGAACGCAGGCGGCCGCGGCCCACCGTCGTACCCTCTCATGCGCGTGCGCACTCGCTCTGGACGCTTTGAAGACCTGGCGGAGCCCAGCACAGATGGAGGCCTAGGGGCGGCGGGGGCGGAGCGCGCCGCGAGCTGGGGGCGTGTCTGTGGCGGGCGCTGTCTAGAGGAAGGCCGAGCAGCCGCCACCACGCTTTCAGTCGCAGCAATACGCAAACGAGCCAGGCTGAGGGCCTCGGCGGCGATGCAGCGACGACGGCGCCCTTCGCCGCATGCCTCTCAGCTGCCGGAGGGGTGCGGGGGCGGTGGTGGCAGCCGCGGGGGCTGCGGGGGCTGCGGCGGGAGCGGGGAGGTGGAAGTGCAGTTCTCCGCGGGGCGTTTGGGCTCGGTCGCGGTCGATTCGGCGGCGGCAGCGGCCGCGCGCAGCACCGAGGAGGAGGAGGAGAGGCTGGAGCGCGAGCACTTCTGGAAGATCATTAATGCCTTCCGCTACTACGGGTAAGGAGCCGGTGGCGGACCCCAGTAGGACAGCCCGTGGGGACGTCCGCTGGTTCGGCGGATCCGCTGGAATGGTGGCGCCACCCGCGCACGCCCTCCGGCCGCCACGCCTCCGGGGTTCCCGGACCCGGCCGCCTGAGCTGACCTCGGGGTCCCCGAGTCACCTCGCACCCGGTACCTCTCGGCCCGGTACACCCGCGTGTCTGCCGCGCTGTCTACGCTCAGCTACGTTGTCTTCTGACCTCAGGATCAGATTTAGCTCTCTTGCCTTTCATCCCCCGTTAAAGGTTTGGCTTTAAGGCCGGTGGGGGTGGCCGGAAAAGTGCTGTAACAATTTCAGATAGAAGATGGTGGTGGTCAGTCGTTCAGTGCTGGGCATGATTTGTATGTGTTGTCGATGTCCTCCAAACTGAACCCAAGGAGAGCCCAAGTTCACCTCCACGTGGGATGCTGTAGAACGCGTTTTCCCAAACTGTTGCCAATTCTTAGGAGAACCGCCGAAGATTTCCATCCCCCACCCCCACCCCCTTTGGTGCTGTGAATGTACAGGCACCTTTGTGGTGAGCGAGTGAGTGATGCCTCAAAGTCTTAAGCTGGTGGGTGAAGTTAAGTTTGGAGGTGGTCCGGATGTTCTAACATTTGCTAATAAAGAGGGACGATAGAAGGCACAGTAAGAGCCCCCTTTGCGATCTTTTATTTTGCAAATATGTATGGAAGTCTCGCGGTGGACTAGGCACGATGGTAGAGCTTTTAAACTTCCTAACGCACACTTTTCTTCTAGATAGATGTTAAAATAGCTTAGTCACAAAACTTTTAATTCCAAGATCTGGAAGGGACTTGAATCAACTGGATTTTCAGGTAAAGATAGTACTTTTATTCTGTAAGAGATGAGTCCACCGAGAGACGTATTCTGAGTCTGGAAACATTACCTCCTACGCAAGTTAAACGGTCCCCTTAGATGGGCTTTTGCTGTACTTTATGCAAACTTTTTAAATATTGCTTGACTGTGACCTCCTCAAGGACATGGACTGAGCCTTATTTATTTTTATGTCACCAGATCTTGGCATATGTTGTTGAAGCTCTATTTTTAATAAGACAAGTAGCAGCAAAGAAATACATTTGTCATTCCCAAATAGGCTGTCGATTTGTTACCAGTGGTAAAATAGTTTGTTATTATTTTGAATTAGGAAACTTGCTTAATAAAAGCTTAAAGTTATTTAGACTCTGATTACATTTGTGACATGGATTTTTGAAGTTCAGAGATCTTGAGGAAACAATTTACTAATTAAACACAGGAGTAGGAACCCTGGACTGCATTACTTATGGAGCCCAACTGGAAATCAGTAGTGTGGGGATTTTATTTAGTATCAACAGAGGGAAGAAGGCAGACAATCAGAGAACTGAATTTGGTTGTAAGTATTGTGCCTGAAAGGGAGAACCATAAAGGGAGGGGAAGGAGTTGACGTTAGGTAGGTAAGAGTGGTAGGTGCAGAAGAGCTTGGTACGTTTTACTGTTGGAAAATCTAGAAAGAATGTCTTGGCGACTGTAGTGCACCGAACAAGTTAAAAATGTGTGTTTGTACCCAGTTCTAAAATATTAGGACTAATTTAGAATTGATATTTATGATTTAAGTATCAGGTGGGCCTTTTTGTTGTGGGAGCAGGGGAACTTTGACCCGGATCTAAGACCTAAGTGTAGCAATACAGAAGAGGGTGCCTGTGTACATGTTCTAGTGGTTGTGGTACAGTTTCCTATCCTCTTTACCGGTTTAATGTAGGATTGAGGAAAATTTCATCTTTAAAAAACAGTCTTTTTTATTTGTTTCATTTCTCGGTGAAACACTTCAAATCTCTAGACTGAAAAGAGCATAGGATAAAAAAAATAGGCTTTTAAAAATATCACTTAAAGGATTAGGGGTACAGAAAATGTACAGCAGAAAACACTGGATTGTTATCTTCCAACATTTTATGATCTTCTGGATCTGCACTGTCTAATCAATACCTTAGCCACTAATCACATCTAGCTAATTTTAAGCTTAAATTAATTTAAACTAATAAAATTAAAAATTCATTTCCTTAGTCAGTAGCCACATGTAGCTAGTGTCTGCTATATTGGACAGTGCAGATGTAAGTAAGCCTTTCCATCATTGCAATAAATTCTGGTAGTCTTATTCTAGATCTTTTGCAAGTATCTCCAAATTTTAGAGTTTGGTTTTACTGTTAAATGTCTTTTAGTCATATAGGAGATTTAGATTAAAGGTCATAGGGTAATAAATGTCTTTTGATTAATGTTTTCTGTTTCCAGTGGCTTCCAATTTTGTGCTTCCTACAGATTTTGCTTAGATGACATAGTCTGACTAAGGTAAAAATGATTACAGCGTTGTACTGAATAGCAAAAAATGTTAGCCTTAAAATACCACTCTTGAGGGCCGGCCGAGTGGCTCAGTTGGTTAAGAGCTCGCTCAAGAGTTTGAGCTCTGAATAACAGCGGTTCAATGCCCGGCCTGAGCTGAGCAGCCGCTGAGCTGCCAACGGGTGGCAGGATGGCTCAGCTTAAAAAAAAAATAAAAATACCACTCTTGTTATGAGTGAAGAGACCTAGTCTCAGAAAAGGTCTTGTCAGAAATGTCCTACTTTTAGAAATAATGGTTAGGTGAGATTTTAAAAATTGAGATGTGGAGCTCATTTTTATAGGTGAGGGGTTAGGAATATAAAAAGGCGAGTAACTTGCCCAGGGTTACACAACCAAATTGTGGTAGAGTCTGGCTTGAAATCCAAAGTTGTTCACTAAAATTTTACCTTGCATTATTAAGCAATGATGCTAGTAAGACAACTTTAACCTTGGGTTATTTAATAAACATTATAAATGGATTGAGACAGACTTTCCTTCTGAAAAGGTATGCTTTCCTGTTTGGAATTCTAGATTTGTTTAACAGGTACAGAGGAATGGGTCAGTGACCTTGGTCCTTGGCTCAGATTCAGCGTCGGACCCACCCTGATGAAAGGTTACTAAGTCAGATTTGGTCACTGCCCAGAGCAGCCTTATAGAAAATGCTATAGATACCCTTAAGGGTAGAGATACCCTTAAGGAAAGATGGCTGCTGACTCTACTTTCTCCCCTTAGCTGCCAGAGGATTTGGCCTCATGATGCTGACTGAGGGTAGTCTGAAGATATTAAAACATTCCTTTAAAGCAGGGTTGGCAAACTTTTTTAAGGGCCAGGCAATGAATATTTCAAGCTCTCACAGCTACGAGGTTTCTGTTACAACTATTCAACTCTGCCCTTTGGTATAAGCAACCATAAACAATATGTGAACAAACCAGCATGGCTATGTTCCAGTAAAACTCTTTTTACGAAAACAGACAATGTGTGTGTGGGGAGTTTTCCCACTGCTGTCTTAAAGCACATAGTCATCAAACAAACCCAAAAAGAGCCTGGAGGTTTTGCCTAGAAACAAATGATATTTATTCAAGGGTCTTAGGGTTTGCAACCTGGAAACACAACTAGGCAATAACCCAGATGTGTTCTGAAAAAGAAAAAGTTACAAGTTCTTATAGTAAAATGTACATTCTTGAGAATAATCAGTCCTGTATTGCTTGCCCTAGGATTGGTCCAGGATGGTTATCAGTCAGATGGTAGGCAGTCTGGATGGTGGATACCAGGTGATCTGGATACATAAGTCCTTCAGGGGTTGTTTAGAGGGTTATCTGGAGGCCTCATGTATGTCCAGGTATTTCTGCAGAACTGGAAATTTTCAAAATTTAAGTTCAGAGGCTAGTTAAAACAAGAATAGAATCGTTTCCTCATAATCTCCACCTACTTGATTTTAGTAATTCAGCAGTTTGATTAAAGTGACTGTGTTTTACTTCTTCACTCTATTTCTCATAGTGTAAGCATTTCCAGAATAGTGAAGGTAGCCCCAATTATTATGGTATAGTAAGGATTGGACTCTTTTCTCAACTTTGGTAAGACCTGAGGTATTTCAAGGGAGTCACCATGGGTGTATGGTATAGACAGCTTTGCACACCATTAAGTAACCAAGGGTTAAGGGATATGCTATGCCTTACCCTGCCCTGTGTAGTTATATCACTTCTGTAGCAGGAATTGACAGCAAGTATGGGTGTGGGCTCTTCTGCCCAATCCATAACTTACCTCAACTCTCCTGCTATCATGGAAATAAGTAGCTTCCATGGAGAACCAAAAGTGGCACCTAGGAAGTCTAACTGAATATTTATTGATTGCTTTTTACATTTGCTGAAATGTGGAGATTAAATAGTGACAAAGGCAAGACTTGTATTTTAGAATTCATCTGATGTTGGGTGGGGGCGTTAGGTTGGGGACAACATTCCTATAGGTAGCAGGCGTCTCAGTGATCTTTGCAAGACATAATAAATAATAAGGGCCTGAGGTAAAGCGCTGGAGAGAAGTGTAATTTGCAGGTACTTTTATGAAGTAGCATCAAAAGGACCTTGGGTTTATTGATTGTGTGGGCTATGAGAAGAGGCATTTTAGGATGACTCGTTAGTTTCTGACTTAAGTGGATGTATGGTGTACCATTCAACAGTATCAGCCATATTGGAAGAAGTGCAAGTTTTTTTGTGGGACATGTGCTAAGTTTCGTTTGGATATGTTAAGTTTTGAGGTATGGTGAGAGGGAGATTGTGGGGTATCCAGTACCAGAGAATACTGAAGAATGAAGTACTAAGAGACTAACCTGTTGACAGTAAATTGTAAATTGTTGCAACTGTGCTGTTTGCCTAACATATGGCCACTTTAAAAAGTTCCTTTAGTGTCATACTCTACTGCTAGGCATGTAGATGGATACAATCTTTCTGAAAATCAGTTAGTATCAAGGGTCTTAAAAATACTTATCCTTTCTGTCCTGGTTATTCTTCTTTGGGGAATTTGTGGTAATTAAAAAAAATATATCGACAGATTTTTAACACAAAAGGTTTACAATATAGACAGACAAGTGAAAGTATCTAGATGTCCAATGTTTGGGAAATAAATAAATTTTGGTTGCATCACATGAAATGATGAATAGTCATTCATAATCATTTGTCATATAATCATTTGAGAACTTTTTTCTGATGGGAAAATTCCTTTACTAAGGATGAAGAATTACAAGTGCTTCTAAAACTTTAATGTGTATGTGAATCATTTGGAGATCTTGTTAAAAGACATGACGTTTTAGGGCAGAGATCTCCCTTCCTAACCACTTCCAATTGATCTGATTTTGACTGGAAAGGTGCTAGATGACTTTGTCTTAAACACCAACAAAACAGAGAAATGTGCCAAAAAGTTAGAATGGTTGTCTCTGGAAGGGGGATTATTAGCTTTTTCCTCCCCTGAATACTTTTACTTTTCTGCACTTTTCATATTTTCATTGTAAACGTATTAGTTTTACAAATCAGAACATGCCTACTATATTTAAGCACTTGCTATATTTTCAGACATTGGGCTAAGTGTTTTATATGCATTATTTTGTTTGTTAAATTTTCAGTGAAAACCCATTGGATAAGCAGAGGAGTATAAGTACCTCGTGGGGTTTTATGGAGATATTTCAGAATAATCTATGTTAAGTGGCCTAGTCAAGTGCCTAGCATTTATTAGATCAACATAAATGATAGCTTCTATAATCATCATCATCGTTATGTTTTACAGAGAAAGGAAGTAACTTGCCAAGCGTCATATAACAAATAGGTGGCATAACCTGGATTTCAATCTAGATCTGTTTGACTCCAGAGCTCGCTATTATAGCCTCATAGGGGAAAAGCAAACATCAGTGCATCCGATGCCAACTTGATGTTTTTACATTGCCTCTAAGTGCCCCCATAATACCACCACACACAAGCTTCTAAAAGGTTTTTGCTTAAGTTTTGTCAGGAGTTTCTTCAGAACTTCTCTTCCTTTTCTTTTTTCTCTTCTCCCCTCTCTCTTTCCCTCTCCCTCTCTCCTTCCCTCTCCCTCTCTCCTTCCGTCTCCCTCTCTCCTCCCCTCTCCCCTCTCCCCTCTTCTCTCTTCTCCCCTCTTCTCCCCTCCAGTAGTTATCTTTATTTCATTTCCATAGAACAGCCCCATGACTGTTGAATTACCACCGTTTACAGATATGGAAAGTGGGAGTCGGGTAGTTCAGCTTGCCAGGATTCACACACAGCTCTATTTAACTCCAAAATCCATGGTCTTTTTACTACAAGATATAGATTTAAGATTTTACATTACTAGACTTGCCAGATAAAATACAGGGTGCCTGGTTGAATTTGAATTTCAGATAAACAATGAATAATTTTATTATGGCCAATGAAATATTGTGGACATATTTCTTTAAATATTTTCAGAAATTAGAGAGTAATTTGGCATAAAGTAAAAATGAGAGAATTATTTGGATAGAGCGATTCAGGCAACCAAGTGAAATAGTCTTTTTTATTTTCACTTAATGCTGAGTAAATGCCAAGAACATTTAAAAGAAACATTCATTTATTTATTTCTTTGTATATGTAAAATGTAAAGAATGATGCAGTGAGCCCCCATGAGCCTACCACTCAGTTTTAAAAAAGAACATTATCGTATTCCTTTCCCCTGAAATTATTTCCCTGAATTTTTGTTACCTTGCTCTCCTTGTAGTTTTTCTACATATGTTGAGTCCCTACGATATATTGTTTATTTTTATATAACATGGAATTAATATAGTATGTATTTTTCTGCAACTTGAGCTTCAACAAATACTTACATTTCTGAATTTTATCCATATTATTGTCTGTAGCTATAATTTATTAACTGTGCGTTCTTTGTTCAGTCTACTGGTGGTGGACCTCTGTTTCCAGATTTTTTGTGATTTCTAACAGTGCTGTGATGAAGGTGGTTCATATTTCATGGTGACCATTTGCAAGAGTTTCTTGAGTATGTGTCTAGGAGTATAATTGCCTGGTCATAGGAAGTGTGCATATTAAGCTTTATTAAGTAAGGCTCAATTATTTTCCAAAGTAATTGTACTAATTTATGTACCCACCATCAATCACTATATAAATATTCTAATTATTTTACATTTTTGCCCACATTTCATATAGGTAGGCTTAAATTTTGCCCATCTGATTGAAGTGGCATTTCATTGTGAATGTAATATTTAACTTTTTTTTTTAAAAGATTTTTATTGGGTAATTGGGGGGATGGGAACAGTGATGGGGAATTGGGGGAAGGGGAACAGACAAGTTGCTGTAGTTTTGTTCTTCAATCTAGTTGTGGAGGACGCTGCTTCACTGGCCCAAGTTGGCACCATCATTGCGCTCTTCCCTGGCGAGGCAGATCTGTCGCCAGCTTCTGGACAGCCGCTCACGGCGGCTGCTGGCTGCTCACCTGGCTGCTGGCTACACACGGTAGCCCATGGCAACCCACTGCCACAGCCACAGGGACTGCAGCCTACGCCGACTCACGGCAGCCCAGCTCCAGGTTGAACTGTTGTTCAGCATCTTAGCTGTAGAGGGCAGTGTCACTGGCCCTCATATGTGGGATCCGAACCGGGGCCCTCTGGCATCCCAAGCGAGTTCTTAACCATCGCGCCACTCGGCCGGCCCATATTTAACTTTTAAAAATGATACTCTTCAAATTTTATAAATAGTCTCCATTGTGACTTGTAGAGTTATTTGGAAACTTTTGGAATGCAAAGTGTGAATATTGTCATCTAAAATGCTATAGAATTTCAATTTTTCATTTGTTTACTACTTTTGTAGCACATAAGATCTTTTATGATATTTTGAAAAATTAACTTGGTTGGATATTAGTTAATTTCAAAAGATATTCTAAAGTAATTTCAGAACAACATTCTGTTACTTGATGGAGAAATCTAAAGCATTCAGCTAGTTTTGCTGAAAATTGTAAGTTTGGAAATTGAAATCATGAAAGTAAACTTATTGTATACTATTTCTCTTTATCTTTTCTTTTTTACCCTCTTCTCATTGGTGCAGATATTTACCTTTACTAGTTATAAACAATTTGTTTTTGGTTTGGTTGCCTAGAGAATTTGTAGTAAGGTAAAAACATAAAATTTTCTAGATGGATATTGTTTAAGAAACCATAAGATTGTAAGTGACAGGACAGTATCCAACATTATAAGGGAATAATTGTACAGAAAGACAACTTTAAAATACAATTGGCCTCCCCTGAGAATTATTTTGCCAATTTAAAAAACACCTTTTATGTTTTAGCACCAGTATGCATGAGCGAGTGAACCGAACAGAAAGACAATTTCGATCACTTCCAGCTAATCAACAGAAACTACTTCCTCATTTTCTTCTTCACTTGGACAAGATCCGGAAATGCATTGATCATAATCAAGAAATACTACTGACCATTGTGAATGATTGCGTACATATGTTTGAAAATAAAGAATATGGAGAAGATGTATGTGAAAGTTTGTTCTATTTGTTTTTTATTTTAGGGCTTGACCTCTCTATATTTGGAGGTCTTTATCTTTCTGGATTTCGTTCTTCTATTGCATGGGTCATTTTCTCTACTCAGAGAATGTTTTCACTTACATGTTCAGTCATTTGATTAGGCTTAATAGAACAGTATGCCAGAATCTGGATTTGTTCACTGATTTTTTTTTTTTCCTTTCTAAGACTACTAAGATAATTTGGGGTTTTGATACACTTTCACATTGTGTTCTGACACATAGAGTTTGTGACTTGCATTTTTATAAACAACTTTACTAGCTATGTAAAATTAATTTTCCTTGATAATCTCATTATTTTCAGTATCTGTTGATAGTCTTTTATTTTAAGAACTTATTTTTCACTTATGGGACTGGCAGTAATAGAAACTGAAGTCCTCTTTTTGTACCCACAGGATAGGTACAGTTGGGCCTCTCCAGTGTGACACTCCATGCTGCCCCATCAATGACCTGGAGGGACTTTCTTCTCTCTTAGAGAGAGAATATTTGGTCTCCATAGCAGCTCAGTGCTGGTCCTCTCCTGAGTAAAGACTGCTTAATTATATGGTGGTTTCATGATTAATGGACCATATCTATTGAGGGTAGAAGTGAGACCACCAAACTCTTTTCATTTAGGATCTCAAGCTGCACTCGAACCCCGGTTGAGGTGAGAGGCCAGTGATTTATCCACTAAACCATCTGTATAGCCCCTTAGTAGCATGTCTATTTAACCATATTCAAGACTGATTCCTTTTCTCAAAAACTAATGGATTTCTGTTCTTTAAACAGGGCAATGGAAAGATTATGCCAGCGTCTACATTTGACATGGATAAGTTAAAATCCACATTGAAACAGTTTGTGAGAGACTGGTGTGAAACTGGGAAAGCAGAAAGGGATGCCTGCTACCAGCCAATCATTAAAGAAATTTTAAAAAATTTTCCAAAAGAGAGATGGTAAATAATGTCTTGTTTTTAACCAATTTATTTAAGATATGTAGGCACTGAGTTTCTCTATGAGACATTTCACAGTCTTGATTCATTTTTATAGTTGCTGTGTGCCTGTATTTTTTTCATGTGTGGGTGTGTGGTGTTATATTTGTTCTTGGATGCTCTGTGTGAGGTTGCGGTTAATGTTTTGAATAATTTTTTGCTCTAGCACTATGGGAAATTATCTAGAAATTAAAATGAGAAAATTAGATTGGATGTTCATTATCAATGATGTCTTTTGACAATTTGCTTTATGGCAGAGCAAACAGCTGCAAACTTCTAATTTTCCTCATTATTACATACTTGTAAACAAATGAAGGATTGATAGCTTAGAGCAGGGATTCTTTACTTTTTCATGCCATGAAAACCGTGAGCGGTCTGAAGCCCATGGTCTGCTTTTTGGAATAACATTTATAAATGTATAAAATAACATACATAGGATTACAAAGAAACAAGTTATTTTGAAATACAGTTATCAACATACTTAAAAAGCAAATTTGTGATATAACCTGATTTTTATCATGTATCACATCAAATAAAATGTAGCTGCAAGTGTTACTGTCTTTTGAAAATACTGAATGATGTATATGTTATTTTGAGAATCTCAACAACTAATGTGAAGTGAAAATATATGTGGTTTCCATTGGTGATAAAGTCACACATATTCCTAAAACTACTGTTGATTGTTGCCTGCATTTATAATTGAAGAAAAAAATGTCAGTTAAAGGTTAATGAAATTAAAGTGTAATTTTTTTTTTTTCCTATCTCCTTCATAGATCCAGTGAATTCTCTCCATAGACCCCTTGGGTCCGTGGATCTCAGGTTAGGAACCCCTGACTTAGAGGCTGTATGTTTCAAGAGAATCACTGAATGAAATTCAATCTGTCATTTAAAGGATCTTTGTAGAGAGGTTCCTTTTCCTCATGTCCTTTCCCTTCTCAGTGATTGACATATTTAAGTTTGGTATATCCTTCCAGAAATTTCAATGTGTGTGCGCGCGCGCATGTTCTTTCTTTTTAAAAAATTTTTTATTTTGAAATAACTTAAAAATTACAGATAAGTTATATGAATTGTGCAGAGAGCTCCCATATACTCTTTACCTAAATTCATCAATTCTTAACATTTGACATTTGCTTCATTTCCTTTTTCTACTTTCCTCACTCCTACCTTCCCTTACGTGTATGTCTAATATATGCATATATAATATATGTACACAATACACAATCACATACACACAATTATTATTAAACCATTTGAGAGCAGTTTGTATAGATCATGGTTGGTTGTTTTATTTTTCAGCTGAGCCATCCTGCCAACAGCAGCGGCAGCTCAGTTCGGGTCAGGACTTGAACTGCTGTTGTTCAGAGCTTGCGCTCTTGAGTGAGCTCTTAACCAACTGAGCCACTCGGCCGGCCCTTAGATCGTGTTTTTTACTGCTTAATTCTTCAGAACAATAATATTCTCTTATGTAAACACAGTGCAGTTACCAGATTAAGGAAATATAACCTTGAATACTGTTTTCTAAATTACAATCTATATTCAAGTTTCATATATTATCCTAATGATGTCCTTTATAACACTCAGTTTTTTGTCCAGTCTAGAATCGAATCCAGGGTATTATATTACATTTGATTGTAGTGTCTTAGACTTTAATCTGGATCAGTTCCTTGGCCATTTTTTTTTTTTTAACTTTATGGCATTGATAGTTTTGAAGACTGAAGGGAAGTTATTTTATAGAATACTCCTCAGTTTGACATTGTCTGATGTTTCTCTATGATTAGATCTAGATTATATGTTCCCTGTCAAAATGATACATAATTGATGTTGTGTCTCTTTCACGATACCACATTCAAAGACATACAATGTCTGTCAGCCCATCATTGATGATTTTAATTTTGATCACCCAATCAAGATATTATTTGGTTTCCTCACCTTTTAGTTGTTGATTCTCTTCTTGCAACTAATAAGCATTTCCTGGGGAGACACTTTGAGACCATGCAGTTAATATCCTTTTATTTCTCAAACTTTCTCCCCTTTGAATTATCATTCATTGATAATTCTTGCATGAACCGACCTGTGCTATGGTGGCTGTGGAATGGTAATTTAATACTACAATGATCAGTCAGCATCTACTATATCAATATATCTATTATCAGGAAGGACTCATGGTTCATTTTATTCAGTTATATTCAATGGTTATAACCCATTATTATTGATTTTTTTTTTTAAAGATTTTTTTATTGGGGAATTAGGGATGGGAGCAGCGCTGGGGAATTGGGGGAAGGGGAACAGACAAGTTCCTGTCCTTTTGTTCTTCAGTCTAGTTGTGGAGGACGTTGCTTCACTGACCCAAGTTGGCACCATCATTGCGCTCTTTCCGGGTGAGGGACATCAGTCGCCGGCTTCTGGACGGCCAGTCACGGTGGCTGCTGGCCGCTCACGCTGGCTGCTGGCTACACACGGTATCCCATGGCAACCCACTGCAGCAGGGCCTGCAGCCTATGCCACCGCCGGTGACTCATGGCAACCCAGGTCCAGGTTGAGCTGTTCAGCATCTTAGCTATGGAGGGCAGTGTCACTGGCCCTCATATGTGGGATCCGAACCGGGGCCTTCTGGCATCCCAAGCCAGTTCTTAACCAACGCACCACTTGGCCGGCCTGATATTGCTTTTTTATTTTGTTTTCATATTGCCTTATATTTGGCCAAAAGGAGTCCCTTTATTTGGCTCCTATGTCCTTTTGGCATGGCATGCCCCAGTCTTCCTTTTTTTTAAGCACTTCCTTACTTTCTAACACAATAAGGTATATCCAGCCCATCTTGTATCTTCCTTAGGTCAGTCCTGGAACTCAGTATTTTTTTTTTTTAAAGGTTTTTTATTGGGGAATTGGGGGAATGGGAACAGCGCTAGGGAATTGGGGGAAGGGGAACAGACAAGTTGCTGTCCTTTTGTTCTTCAGTCTAGTTGTGGAGGACATTGCTTCACGGGCCCAAGTTGGCACCATCATTGTGCTCTTCCTGGGCGAGGCAGATCAATCGCCGGCTTCTGGACGGCCGCTCACTGCAGCTGCTGGCCGCTCACGCTGGCTGCTGGCTACATACGGTAGCCCATGGCAACCCACTGCCACAGGGGCTGCAGCCTACACCGTCGCCAGCGACTCACGGCAGCCCAGCTTCAGGTCGAGCTGTTGTTCAGCATCTTAGCTGTAGAGGGCAGTGTCACTGGCCCTCATATGTGGGATCCGAACCGGGGCCCTCTGGCGTCCCAAGCCAGTTCTTAACCATCGTGCCACTCGGCCAGCCCTCAGTACTTTTTTAAGGACCTGGTTCCTTTTAATGCAGAGTGATATATAGAAACCAAGAACTGGCACTAGGCATGTTCGTTGTTAATATTAATATATTAATGTCATTGCTTCTGGGCCTTTCAGTGGACAGAAACACACACACACACACACACACACACACACACACACACACACACACACACACACACAGAGACACACACACACTAGAAATCATGAATGCATACTGATACCTCCAATTCCAATCCAACCCCATTTGGTTCCTCTTTGACTCCCTCATTCTTTATATCTGTCTGCTTTTATCCACAGTTGAGGACCCTGGCTTCTGACAGCATCAGTACATTTACTCATTCACTCAATCATAATACAGACAAAATTGTTTCAGAATTGCTAACTCCGTACCACTATGAAAAACAGAACTACCAAAAGGAGTTCAAGATTTGCTAGCCATTATTTTTCTCCCTAAACCAAGAGTATGTAATAAAAATATGCTTCACTATTTATTCATATTAGCTCCCCTTCAACCCCTTCACCCTCAGTGTAGTTATTTTTTATTTGAAATTCAGTACATTGAGGTTTATTTGTTTCGGATTGCTTTCAGTTAGGGTTGTGTGTCCCCGGTCCCCACCTCATCCTTGTTGATTTATTTTTATTTTTTGATTTGTGAACTATCAAAGTAGGCAAAACTAGATAAAACAGTAATATTCAGAAAAAGTACCATTCCCTCCCCTATTCCTACTATACTCCATCTCACTCCCCAACCCCAGTTCCGCACCACATATAGGTAATCAGTATCATTGATTTGTTCTTTATCCTTTTTTAGTTTTTTTATGAAAGTAAGCAGATAAATGTTTTTCTCTTTAAGTACGCCCTTTTTTCATACACAGAATGTAGCATACTGTGTATTTTATTTTGCACTTTGTTTTTTTCACTTAATATATCCTAGAAATAGCTGCATATCAGTTCATGGAGGTTTTCCTCAGTTGTTTTTTTTTTACAGTTTTAGAGTACTTCAACCAATCTCCTATATTTGGTTATTCAAGTAGTTGGCAGTATCTTACAATGATAAATAATGCTACAATTAATAACCTTATGCATATGAATCTTGGCATTGTTGGAGGTATATCTGTAGTGTAAATTCTTAGATGTGGGATTCCTGTATCTGAAAGGTAAATGTGTATGTAGCATGGTTTGTGTATTAGTTATCCATTGCTATGTAACAAATTTAACTGCTTAAAACAGCACACACTTATTATTTCACAGTTTCTATAAGTTAGAAGTCTGGGTAAGACTTAACTGAGTTCCTTGTGTGTGGCCTTATAAGACTGCAATCAAGATGTCTGCTAGCTATGTTCTCATAGAGATGCTTGACTTTGGAAGTATCTACTTCTAAGCTCACTAGTGCTGGCAGAATTTATTTCATTGTAGGCCCTGGATTCTTGTTGACTATGGGCTGAAAACTTGCCTCTGCTCCTAGAAGCCTTCATAGTTCCTTGTCTTTGGGCTTTTACAAGTGGCCACTTTATTAAAACAGCAAGGAAGTCGAGAGCAAGCAGCCTCCAAATGGAGTCTTACATAATGTAACATAATCTCAGAAGTGACATCTGTTGGCTAGAAGCAACTCATAGGTCCTGGACACACTCAAAGGGAGGGGATTATAACAGTTG